TAATTGAATGGTGATGAGTAGAGTCCCAAGTGTTGAATTGCAGTACATTTTAGTCAGGTCCCCATTTTAATGTGTTGCCTTGTGGGGTGGGGGTATTTATAGTTGAATTTTTGTACATTGCCCAGAGTCAAATTAGTTTGGGCAGCCATATAAATGCTAGGAAGCAACGAATGTGGCTTTCTTCTGCATCAGCAATCATTTTTCATTAGCCTTCCAACTGTGTGATTCTAGGGAGGGTAAATCTAGCCACCTTTTCTAGAGTTTGATAATTACATGAAAAAGTAATTAGAAATAGACTGTTTGGCATTCATGTAATTTGCTCGATAAAATTTTCCTCTGTGAGTTCTTCCTATGTTTTTGCTACTGTTCTGTATATCTTCAACTACAAAATACTATTTCAAGAAACTACACAGTTTCTTGACAAGAATATCTCTATAATAGGTACTTGCAAATATGAATTGTTGTATCATTCTACATTTTAGGCATAATCTTAAAATACAGCTGCATAACAAAGAGGAAAATGTAAGAGCAGTTTGTGATAACTATTTCCCTTACTCTAGGGAACTGTAGCACACAACCAAAAGCATATAAAGAATGTCAGAATTAGCCAGATGTTACTTTTCCTTACAGTAGGAATAGAGAGCCTCTAGTCTTCCTGATGTTACTTTCAGCATGATCTGGAGAGGTGTACCTGATTGTGAGAAACCCACATTCACCACCAAAAGTTAGATGTAACTTCTACACAGTCCATGTTTAGCATGTCCTGCAGAGTAACATAGACTACTTATTACTACAGGCAGCAGGAACTCTAATATAATGTTATGGATTCACACATCATGCTATGCCATGATTTACTCAACCATAGTGTGTTAAATAAGCCAAAATGGCTGACTAAATGCTAAAATCAAATCACATTATAGCTAAGCGCAACATACAATTCCAGCCAATAGTTCAGTAATTAAGTTTGTAGTAATAACTCAAAAGAAACCAGCCCTTGAAAGATGCTAGCATATGGCTGTTGTGCCACAATTTTTATTCTCTGATGCTTTCCATTCTGTTAAAAAATCTGCAAACTTTTGATAAGTTCTTACCAAAGCAGAGCTAACAATTCTTACCATTCCTGAAGTTCTTATGTAGATTTAGATGGCCAGAGAGCATGTTACAGGCCATCTAAACAGAGAAAAACTCTCCATTCTTCCTCAGTATTTTACATTTCTACAGGCAGGATAAAATCAAGTGCCCTTTGTAATTGTCATGAGTTTCAAGCAACACCAAACCATGCCCTGTAGAGTATCCACTTCTCACTTACCAGAAAAAAGTTGAGGACGATCAGCCAGCCCCATCCTCCGTCAGGAACTGCTGTGCTATGGGGACCTTCGCTGTTTTTATCACTTTCAGCAGATTCTCCATCCTTTTTTGAACTCCAGGCAGTCACTGCCGTTGACATTATCAGAAATGTAAAGTAATAACCAGGCCAGGCTGCCTCTCAGAATGTGTCAACACGATTGCTTTAATATGTGCTGCAGGCTTTCAATTTAACCATTAACCAAATGTTTTTAAAGGATGAAACATATGACCAAGATGGAACTTTAATTGCTATCCTTTTAGGTTTCTCCCCCTCACCCCGTCTGCTGAGACAGAATGATTTTTGTACTAGCAAATACTGGCTCTACTGTAGCTTGATGGTCCCCTCGCCAATGCTTTTGAGTAAAAGGTAAAAACGATAGGCCTCTGAAGTAGGCTTGCTAATAATTAAAAATAAGTTATTCTGTAGCCCCTGGATTTTTAAAATAAGGGTCCTGACAAGCAGACCAGAGTCTGATGGAAACTGCCCAAAGCTGTTTCTTGTGGTGTGTTGGTATTTGCAAAACCTGTTGCTGCTTCCTCTCTGTTTGCTCCCTTTGCTCCCTTCTCAGCCATGCCATTCAGTTCAGCTTAGTTTGCCAGCTCTCTGGAAGCAGTTTTGGTCAGCGAGGGACAGAGGGAGGAGCCTGGCCACAGTCTCCTCTTTCTCTTCTTCATCTTCCCCCAGTGTAATCTTCCCCCAGCAACAACGAAATTAAAGTGAAGGTTTATATAAAAAAACCCAAAAAAACAAAACCTACTTTGATCTATTTTTCCAACCAGCAACGATGGGATGTTTAACTTTCCAGCTTGTAATTTTTAAGGACATTTTTTTCATTAAAAAAAAAAAAATTAAAGGGAACTACTTTAAAAGTTAACCTTGACATGCAATCAAATATGCAAAACTGCTACTAATGGATGAGCTTACATCTGTTACAAAATGTGTAACAGGACTTCCTAGTAGTCCTCTTTGTTAGAAGCCTGCCCCATCAAAAGGCTTCAGTGAAGGCTACGCATTTTATTTATATTCATTTTTCGGTTAAACTTACAAATCTACCCCACCGAAGTGTAGTCAGTAAACTATTCTGTAGATAACTCCAGCAGTTTAAACCAGTTTCCTGCTGTCAATTATGCCCTGCCCTTTTAATTCAGCTTCAAAGAGAGAAGTGTGTTTCAGGCTGAATACCAGTTCTTTGGAGTGACAAATCACTTGTTTTTGAGAAAATGGTGAAAACAAAATGACCATCCAAGACCATGATATTGCACTTTCTTTTATTTCAGTGGTCTCAATATACTTTTAAAATAATACTCTGCAGATTTACATTTGGATAATCAAAAGCCATTAGTGTCCTGATAGTTGGCTATTTTTATCAGCTGCAGCCCTTTAAATTACATTGCTCTAAAACTAATTAGACTAACCCAGTGTTTTTCAAACTTGGCAACTTTAAGATGTGTGGACTTCAACTCCCAGAATTCCTCAGCCAGCATGGGTGGGGATTAGATTAGAAGCTAATCTTTCTGTCTAAGGAAGTTTTCACTCTTTACCTTTTCTTGCTGATAAGTGTATATAAAAAGTTTTGGAAATGGCAACACAAAACCCCTAGTACAGACTTGTAAAGAAGGTAGTTTAACTTTCCTTCATTTAATACATTAGCAAGAATAACAACCTGTTTTCAAGCGGCCCAGTAAATTGTTCCCATTTTCAAGAATATTTGATGCCGTTTCAAAAGAAACTTCAGTGATTTGGATTTAGGATATTCTCTTGGAGTGCAGATATCATACTGCACCAGAGCCAAGGATTGGTTGGATGATATTTTATTTTTGGTGTAAATGCACAAATCAAGACAATAGTAATGCTACACTGTAAACAGTGTTTTGGTGCTGTAGTTAGTAATTGTGTTAATCGCTTTGAATTATTTTCTCCTTTCTGCAGAAGCCCTTTAACCCTTCTGATGAAGCCCCTTAACCACAGCGCCAATGCGTGTACTGCAGCAAGTAACTCTTAACACTTTAGGCAGCTTCATCTAAATGTCCAAAGCACAGAGTCCTCATCCAGAAGTTACCAAAGCACAAACCAGGTTTTCTTTGTCTATGGAAGAATGTCTAATCCCCCAGCTCAGGCAATCATATCCCTGGCTGGCATTTGAAACAGAGCTGAAGAAATTTGTAGTCATCCACGTGTTGCCAGCTGCGTCAACATTTGAACTGTCAGTCTCACAGTCCAAAAAACGGTCTTACCTGTTTTGCCCACAATCTTGGATGGTTTTACTATTATTTACAATTATGATTTAAAGGTTAAAAGGCAAGGGAGCAAGGGCATATTTCAGTATCCCATTCAAAGCCCCTTTAAGGCTTTCCTATATTGATGGGGGGGAGGAGAAGGTCTGAAGAGAAATTGTCTCCACCTCCAAATTTATATTGGGGGGGGGGAGTCTGAAGGGACATAGTTTATCTTGGATTCAGCAGAGAGCTCTGCCCATATGCAAGTACAACTCTTCTGAACATCTCCCAGCTGAATATGAGGAAGTTGAATTGAGCAAGGGACAGAGCCAGTGTGTGTGTATCTCATCCTCAATTTCAGCCCTTACATTTTCACACACCTGAATAAGGACTGCATTAACTAGAGCTTCCTTTACCATTTTTGGGTCTGATGGAAGACTTAGCAGCAGGACCAGTAGGGTCACATTTACCCTACATGCAGCTGAAGGTCATCCACGTAAGGAGCTTATTTCCCCAAACCACACAGGGAAGCAACCCAGTGAAATGAAATGTTTAGTGTTACAATTTTTCTCTTTCGTATTCCTTTATTATTTGGACTTTTCAAGGAGCCACTTTACTATACTCTTAACATTGAACAGTGAAGGGCTAACCAAAAAGCTTACTTCTTTCCTTAGGAAACTACTAACCCAGGATTATGATAGCAAAACCTGTTCTGCAGCTTATACAGTAAATTTGTTAAGCCTTCCAGCCTTTCTCCTGTGCACATCATACCCATCCTAGTAATGTGCATTTACCAAGTAGCTGAATTTGTGGAACGTATTAAAATGTGGCTAATTTGTGGCTCAACTTCTAATCTAGCCAGTGAAGTCGATTTCAGTAAATCATAGTTCAGTACCCTAAGTAGCTTATTGTGAAGACATGGTATTTCATGTTTCTGGCTCTAATAATCTTTTTCTATTGTGAAAACATGGTTTTTACTGTTTCCAGCTCTAATAATCCTTTGCCACCAGATTCTATCTCCATTTCCTTTTTTTTTTTTAAATAGTACAAGTAAATAGTCAAGTAAAGATTCTCACAATGCCAAATAAATATTTTGTGGAGGAAGGAAACTAAGGGTACCAGCCACATTTGTTTCAACCTCCCACAGTTAAGTATTTTATTTTGAAGCATCAGAATTTTGAGAGAGTAGCTGAAAACATTTATGTAGCTTTCACTTAGGTAAAAAGTAATCCTTTAAAAAAAAACAAAAAACCATATACCATACAGTATCCTTGCTCTATTTTCTTGGTAATTTGCTTTTGTTCTAACAACCAGAACCAGCCCCAAAGCTTGTTGATTGAATTATGACCCTAGGTTTAACACTGATGAACTTTCCTCTAAGTATAAGGATGCAAACTGACAGACATCTTAAAATTTAGGACAAGAAACAGCCACAATGAGTACTAACCCTACTGGTATGTCTTTATTAGCCAGCACATAACATAAACTAATGTGATAGCCTCATCAACACAATAAGATCCTGATATTAGTTAGTAACTGGTTTGAGAGGAAGTTGTTCATATTTATTTTCTAGGTTACTCTTCAGAAAATAGCAGTACAAAAACCACATAGCTGTTATCAAATGCCTTTAAATATCTGACAGCTTTTTTATGCAAGTTGGCAGTACTTAGCCAACCCTGACTGATCTAGAACGTTATGTTGAATTGGTCCTGATTTTTATTTGCATTGATACAGGAAGTCCAGGGCTATAGACTAGGGTGAAAATTTGAAAAGTATCCTAGAAGAAGGCAATGGTTAACCTCTTGCATTTGTTGGCAGCTAAGCTACATATATATGGCCATGTAAGTCACCAAGAGTCAAGCTTGACTTGAAGTAGGCTTTTAGTTTCAACGTGCCAAGAAAGAGGACAAGATTTTCCTTACAGATTCCTCTGCTACATCAAAGCAGATACACAACATTAAACATTTAGTCAAAATAGAATTACTTGTCCTCTGCAATTCTTTGAGTTCTTCTAACATTGGGACCACCTGTTAAGTTGCTGTCTCTCTAGCAATAGAAAAGCATTCCATTTCTCATAACGTAAAACGATGGAAGTTCTGTAGATAGATTCTGTACCAACTTAGGCAAGAGAGAATGTTTACAGTCAGATTCAACTAGGTTCTGGCTTCATGAGCTTGGATATCCCATTTGTATTAACTGGCAGAAGACTGTTCCACAAAGGTGATATATTGAAGAGCAGGAAATGCTGTGAACGTGCAAGATTAAGATGCCATTTTGTGTACTGCCACTATGATGCCATCATGCTTCTGGATCATGATATTGCTAGGAAAAGAAAAACCACACCAAACAATAAATAAATATTTTATAGACATTAGTTTAATATTGTAAACAAACCTCAAATATAAATGAAAATAGTGCAGATTGGTGCTGTTGATTTTATAATTCCTATAGTAACATGCTTGCATGTGACTCTGGGTGGTGTATACAATTAAAACAAAAATTACACAATCAATATAACTTACCCATTAAAACAGTTAAAAACAATTAAAAAACTATCATAACAAAAAGACAGGGAAGAATGCAGTCAAACTTATACCAGCTATTTAATGGGCTCTACGTTTCCATGGGATCCCCAGGCCCAATGGCAAAACCAACAGATAGGTCATGGGATAATAAAAATGAATTAAGGCTTTAAATCCAAGGCTAAAAGAGACCCTTGGTACAGTGGTTAAGGTATCAGGCTAGAAACCAGGAGATCATGAGTTCTAGTCCTGCCTTAGGTGTGAAGCCAGCTAGGTGACCTTGGGCCAGTCACTCTTTCTTAGCCCAAGGAAGCAGGCAATGGCAAACAACTTCTGGAAAGGGAAAAAAAAACAAAACAAAACTGCAGGGACCAGTCCAGGCAATCACCAGGAGTCAACACTTACTTGAAGGCATGTACACACACAACAGCCTATATCAAAATAAATCTTCAATTTCATATTATAACAGAGTTCCTTCTTTGTATAAAGTAATTAATTCACCTACAGTAATCCTTGATTTTTAAGGTTTCAAGCCTCTAGATGCCTAAGATTTCAGTTTGTTTCAGCATAATCTTTATAATTGAGAAGTATTGGCAATTACATTATTTGGCCTGGATTATTAACTCAATTTGAGGAGAGTCATTGGAATCTCATACAATAAATTATTATATAAACATACAATAAATTATTATATAAAACGCAAAACCATTTTAAAATGTAATCTATATTTTGAACATTTAAAATTAGTTCTATAGAACTGCAATGCCAGTTAAGCCTCATGCATCAAGTGATAATTCCCTAATCCCAACATTTGTAACAGACAGCCCTATTTTTCCTGCTACTAGATAGCAGAATAAAGTGTGGCAGAGCAGATGAGCATTTACAAAAATAAAATTTAACCTCTTGGGGAGCATTTTACAGATAGTCCTCAGCCTTCGACAGCAACTGGAACTGGAATTGTCGTTGCTAAGCAACGTGGTCATACAGCACAATGTCATGTGACCATATTGCTTAGCAACGGCAATCCCGGCAGTCCTGGTTGTCATTGTTAAACGAGGACCACAGAGGTTGTTAAGAGAGGACCTCACATGACCATGACTTCTGACTGGCTTCCCCATTGACTTTGTGGGAAGCCAGCAGGGAACATCAGAAATCATGATCACTTGACCGCAGAGGTGCTGCAATGGTCACAACTCTGAGGACTGGTCATAAGTTTATTTATTTAGCGCCACTGTAACTTTGAATGGTTGCTGAATGAATGGTTGTAACCCCAGGACTACCTGCATGTCCTTTATTGGGAATAATCATTGGAAGGGGTCAGGCCAATGTCTTTCAGCCCACATTTTTTACGCTTTTAGGATTACATAATGATTGAAATAGTTGCAGGAGGTTTTCCAGGGTAACCACACAAAATTGTCTTGGATAAGCTATTTTTTAATCTGATTTCAAGGGTGGGATGGGAAGGTTTTCATCATGGGAATGTTTGCCTTCCAGAGGCCTCCCATTCCTCCTCCTTAGTTTTGTAAAAGCTGTGAAAAATCAGACCACCACAATTCACTGGATCAAAATTTCAGCAGTGTTATCTTAGAGTCATGGAGGGCCACAGCTGACCGATGGGCTGTCTAGCTTGTTCTAAAATGTGTCTTGCTATAAATGGAGAAACGATTATGTCTTGCTATAATTAGGAAAGAAAGGAGAAAAGAAATAATCCCCACTAATTAAAAAAAAAATTCTGCCATTCTAAGAGCTTGGAGATAGAAACAGTTAATAGGCTTTCCCTAAAGAGGAAAATGCATGTGTATAGGGGTGTTACATATGCAACTTGTATTCAAAATTCCCAGAACCAAGAGGAAAAAAAAATAATTCTAGTCTCAGCTTTTTGACATCCTTATTCCAAAAGGCAACGATGCAGTAAGGCCTGTTAAGTCATTTCATACATCAAAGGAAAACCATGGAACCAAATGAACATACTTACCTGTGTTCTTTTTTGGAATTACACTGCATACATATAACAGACTGGGATCCACCAACATCTATGGAATCATAAATTGGTTGGTCTTTAAAACTATTGTTGATGCTTACCCAGTGTCTGATTCAAGACATACAACAGGAATATCTGTTGGATCAGAAGTTAATTTTGCTGCCTGCTGGGCCAGAACAGAGATTACACCTGCATGCTCATCTGAGAGGGTGCCACGACCTAGAAGACAACTGTGCATCATTTAAAAGAAAAATGTACTGTATTTACCTGTAAGAAAGAAGAAAATTTCTCCCCAAATAATTAACTACAAATTGCAGGAATTGTCTAGATTTCTGACAATATGTTAACAGGAAGGTCCTACTGAAAGCCATCAAATGGGTGAAAGGAGCAAATAATGAATGCAAGTGACAAAAACAGGGAAAGGGGAAAAGCTGTCAATATCATGCTAGCTCTCTAGTCACCCTTCATCTATAGAAGGTGATTATACTCACTCTTCTATCCATGAAGCCTCAGCAAAAAAGAGGATCCTCAACCAGTGAAGAACCTCCATAAACAGAGAGCCTCCACTGCAAACATTCAGCCTCAACACATGGAGGGGCATGAGAAGAGAATGAAACTAGTACCTTGACTCAACAGGACTACAAATTCTAGACATACACAGGAATAAGAGAAATGCAATTCATTGGTATTTAATACAGAACAGAAACATCTGTATGTTTTTTGGCTTCACTGCTAAAGGTGTCTATTATCTTGTTTCCTTTTTATAAACAAGGAAAAGAGTTCAATAACCCAAGCATCTCTTCTCCAGTTTCTATCCCAGGTTAAATGGAGTAAGTTAGGCTAAAAGACTCTCCCACATGAGACTTTCCAGAAAATAAATCCTATTAACACAAAACATAATTATTAGAGTCACAAGCTTAGATAAATTTGTTTAATTTTAAAAGTTCACAGGAAGATAAAATTGTCAAAGAGGCTATGGACCCTTACAGCTAAGCAGGGGTCTCAAGCTCACAGGTAATTGACATCCAGTTTCTAGATGCAAAGGCAAAGTGCAGTGAAGGACTGATACAGCTACATAACATTTTCAAAGAACTAGTTGACTTTTTGGCAATAAAATCCTGGAATATTTGGATTTTTGGGTATGACCCAGCAAGGCTTTTATTATGTCACTTATTTGCTGCTGCTGCTGCAGCCTCACTCTTATTAACTTGATTCTGGTCCAGAATGCAGCACTGAGAGTAACAATGGGCATGCCTTGGTATGCCCATGTAACACCTCTGCTTTGTGAGCTGCCTGGTTGGTTTGCTTCCAGGTGCAATTCAGCTGGTTGTTACCTATAAAGCCCTACATGGCATAGGGCTTGGTTACTTGAGGGACTACCCGTTTCCCATAATATCTGCCCAGCAGATTCGATCCTACAGGGTTGGCACATTCTGGGTTCATTTGATTAAACAATGTCATCTCCCAAGACCCTGGAAGTGCACCTTCTCTATAGTTGTGCCTGCCCTCTGGAATGAGGTTCCCCCCGAGATCTAAATGGCCCCCACTCTGCTGTTGTTTAGAAGAGCCATGAAGACCTGGCTCTTCACCCAGGCCTTTAGTGAGGGAGAGTGAGACCCCTCGCTTCATCGTGGTTGCCATCTTATCTCCCCCCCCCCCAGATTTAACTGATTTTATTGTAATTTATTTGATTGCTGTGAGCTGCCCAGAGTTGCTGAGAGTTGGGCAGCATACAAGCTTAATAAATTATCCTCCCAGCTGCCAAATTTCTAGCTTGGATTCTTCATCACTGCCAGAGAATAATAAGAGGCCAAGAGGGATAATTGTTTCCAAAATTTAAAAAACAAACCACTTCCTATTTTATTAGGAGCAGGATTTAAAGAAGGCAACGGCAAGAGGCACACATAAGACAGTGCTTGCAGACATGGTCTGTTAGAATTTCTGAGCAAAATGAGAAAGAAAGCATGGATGCATGTGAAAATGAGAGGACTCAACCACCTTGTTCTAAGGGGTCTGGCGGATTTTGACTCTCTTCCTCAAGCATCTTGCCAATCTCCTGGGAGGGTGACCCTGGAAGAGCCTCAAAGGAGGTATGGTAAGAGCAGGCCCAGCAACAGACTGGAAGGAGCCATGGTTCTGCTGAACTTTAGGCCCTTTTGGTCCTCTGATATGCAACAACAGGAGAATTGCTTGGGTGGTGTTGGGGGGGGGGGAAGCAGCTAAATGAGAAGGGGAGTAAGTACGGGAAAACTGAGTAACAAAAACTATTTCACCTTTACTTCTGCCCAGCCAAAAAAAGAGAATTCTAGCAGGTCTTAAATATCACGGAGTTGCTTCCAAAGGAATAGTTTGCGCTGGAAAAAAGGATTGCTGTCTTTATAAAGCTTGATTCAGAAACTCAAAACAACAACTACTACTACACGGGAAGCATAGGGACGAAGGTACAGTATTTGAGAGACGGAGAAACCCCAAGGAAATGGGGATCGAGACTAAATGTTTAAAAACAAAGGAAGGAGAAGACGAGCAGATTCGGACACGCGCAGCACTTCTGTCGGGGTGAGAGGAAGGGCTCTGCTACAGGAAAGTTTCTGCGCTACTTACAGCCCAAATTTAGCCCTTGAGAATCGGTGCAGAGGACTCCCGCAATGGAGGGATTCTTCATTCTAAGGAAAGAGGAGTCGGCACAGGTGAGCGTTGAGCTGGCCAGAGAAGAAGCCATCTCCTCCACCACACGCCAGCTGCCTGCTCCGGCAAGCCGTTACGAAAAAAGAGAGAACCTGCCGGTCGCCCACGAACCCCGGGAAGGAGCGCCGCCATCCTCGTCACTTACGTATCTTCCAAATGACCCTCCAACGCCCCTTCCATTTTGCCGACGGCCGCGTCCTCTTCAGCAGCCTCCAGATTTATCAGCTGATCTAGGTCACATGACAAGCAAGGCTTAGACGGTGGCTCGCGGAGACCGAAATTCTTCGCGGTTAAAAATACACGGATCGGAAAACACGATTGATACTGATTTCTGCTGGAAGAAATTGCAGGCGGTTTTGTTTATTAATACAATTGCTTGGGTCGAGCTCCGCTTGCAATCAGAGCCTGCTTGCACACGTCTAGGATCACAATATAATTGTGTGTGTGTATAATGAAATATACACACCAATTAGTTTTTAACTGGTTTCAACTGGTTTTTAATGGTTGCGTTTGAATTTTTTTATACTTAATTTTTAATGGATTAATTAATTTTATTATTTATGGGTATTTTTAATTGTTGATGGGGGTTTTGATTTTAATTGTGAGCCGCCCAGAGTCACCCGTTGGGGGGAGATGGGCGGCATACAAATTTAATAATAAATAAATTTTAAAAAATAAAATAAAATAGATTATATTGATTGTTTAGCTTTGTGTTTTAATTGTGTACGCCTCCCAGAGGCACATGCGTGAGATGGGCAGCTATATAAGTTCAATAAGATATACATGCAATAAAATCATAAATAATTCTGATGTTCAGCATTTATGTTTGCGAATTTCATTCATTCAAGCGGCCATGGACATCATAGCGTCAATTCTTAAGTATGCCTTAAGCTTGGCTCCGGGTAACTTACACGTACGTAACCCGGCCGTGTTTCGGTATGAAACGGAGTCGATTGATTTTTTTGCCCCTTCCCCCTCTAGCCTTCAGCTTTGAATTTCCCACTTAATGCTTCATCCAAGTACAGATCAGGAGCGGTCCCGTTTAACTGTCTAAATCGGAATCAGTTCGGTGCTGCCAGCTAGCTGGGATTTCTTTCGCGATGACTCCTACCGCCCTTGTTTAAAGGGGGCCGGTGGACGTGGCAGTCACTCATGGGAGCATGGTGGGGCTCCCGAGCGCCGGTCCTGTAATCAGAAAAGCAAAACAATCAGGCATCTCTTTCACCGATACTAGGTACTGCAGGAAGAGGGATTAGGCTAAAACCGGTTCTGAGATGCATATTCAGGTAAAAAGTAGGAGAGTAAGAAAAACCTGTAGGAGAGTTTTTAAAAACCCTGATTTGAACAGCTTCATAACCTGTTTAGCCATATACAACATCCAGGATTTGATCAACTGTATCAAGTTTACATTTAAATAAATTATAAAGAGCCTTCCCCTGGAAGTTTTGTAGCCCAAATCGTTATTTTTATATCACCCAAATATAGTCTTTCATATTCAGCCAGCATGTAATGTGATAAGATATATTTCTGGTATTCCATTAGTCAATATTTATTATTAGGAAATCAAAAATAACAAAAATCTTAAACCATGTCTGTCCAATTTGTTCATTTTTTTTGTTTTGTTTTGTACTGAACATGTATTTGTATTTGAAAGCTAAGATCTACTTTATCTCCTACGCAAAGACAGATGCCTCCTATTGAAATTGATTTTAGATTTTTTACAAAAATTAGGCTGAAACGTTTACCTCTAAATGTCCAACCTGATTGACTCCCAGAGCTATATTTAATGATTAGAAATGTTGCTTCTTAAATCAAATGCCACATTAATTCTAGTGCATCAGCACTTTTCCCTGATGAGGTAGTCAGAAGCAAAAAGAGCGATGTTTCCTTTGCTACTTCCAATCACCAACAGGAATGGGAGATCTGCGCCATCCCATCTGTCACAACAACACAGAGCTTGAGTAAGACACTCTCTGAGTTGGCTGGGGAAAATAAAGGTTTATCATTCTGTGGACATGGAATTATGAACAGGAAAGAAATTTTGGTCATTCTAGGCAGGTAGGAATTAGGAATGTAAAACAGAGCAGGATTTATGGATTCATATACCCATTTATTCTACATCCAATCTCCATATACCATTGCTATGTGCATTTAATATTAACTAGTGCTTCATAGATATGGATATCTTTGTCCAACAGAGCAAAGGCATTTCTTCCTTTACATGTAAGAGACATAATCCTGTGTGGCACGGATTAAAACTTTTTACTATAAAAATTCAGAAGTGCAAAAAACTGGCTCCAACGTACACACTGTAACATCATAGTAGCATATCATAAACAGCAAGTGATACTTACTACCTGCTTCCATCAAAACAACTCCAAGTTTTTTGAAGTGAGTTAAAAAGCCCTTAATGATAGATGCACATATGGACACAGATATAATTTATAGCACCAAAGCAATAATGAACACATCCATGCTTCTACTATCCTGCCAAATTATATTGAGCACATTATACCACTTCAGCATTAAGCTGTCTTGGGCACAGTTTAGAAACGGAGGAAGAAAGAGTGAGTAAACAAAATCAAAGGCATAAGAGAAAAGACAAGAAACATAACTAAATCTAATTTACACTTACATCATTTCCTATGCCCCTCCATTCCTTTGTATCTTTGCAATCTATTCTTGCTTCTATCATGTCCTCACATCACTTCATACATTGCCTATTGTTCTTTAAATTCAGCTCTATCCAACCTGATTTTTCTCAGGCTTCTCCTTCCTCTTAATCCATTCACACTTTCTTCATATATTTATTTTGCAATTCAGTCTTCATTCTTTTTCTCTACATGACCAAACCACTTCAAAGTACTTTCATACTGGTCATTCACATTTGGGCTCATTCCACATTCATTGAATTTCCATTCATTCTTGATCTTATCTTTTCTTGTTTTACCACACAGATTTCTTAAGTAATCGATTCCCCTTGCATTCAATGTACTTTTAGATTTTTCGTGATATATCCAACTCTCACTTCCAAATTATGGAAGAGTCAGAACTATACACTTATTACACAACCATTTTCACTTGCCAAAAATCCTAACTACTCATACAAACTAATGGAATTAGAGATAACAGTGTCTGAGAGATCTTTGAGCAATGCTAATTACTGAAGGTGTTGACACAGTGTGCATCTGCTGAAAAAAAAGCCAACAACATGTTAGGGATAATAGGAAACAGGATTGAAAACAGAGATGTTAATATCATAATGCCCTTATGTAAATAAATGGTACCATTGCATCTGGAGTATTGTGTGCACTTATGGTCACTGCATCTCAAAAAGGATATAGTTGTGCTAGAGAAGGTTCAGAGGAAGGCAACTAAGATGATCCAGGGGCTGGAGCAGCTTCCCTATGAGGCAAGGTTGTGACATTTGGGGCTTTTAAGTCTAGAAGGGAGGCAAATGAGAGGTGTACAAAATTATGTATGGTATGGATAAAGTGGAGAAAGAAAAGTTATTTTTCTCTGCCCAAAATACTAGAACCAGAGGTCGCTCAATGAAATTGAATTCTGGAAGAATTAGGAGAGACAAAAGAAAAACTTTTTTTACAGTTTGGTCTAGTGATGAAGGCATCAGGCTAGAAAGCAGGAGACTCTAAGTTCTAGTCCCGCCTTAAGCATGAAAGCCGGCTGGGTGACTTTGGGCCAGTCACTCTCTC